CCCTTCCCCTCCCTAGCCCCCCTTCCCCGCCCCCTCCCCATCCCCTCCCCTCGCAGAGAGGGCGGCGCCTTTGTCAAGCGAGCGCAGCCAGCCAGGGGAACTGCGCTCAAATGAGCGCTCGGCGGCGAGCGGCCAGGGGTACGGAAGAGGGTGGGGCGGGCGGGGCGAGGGTAGCGGAAGGACACGATTAAACAAAAAGTTTCCGGGCGAAAATCCTAATCGGGGCGTTCCTTGTTTCTGGGGGAGGGGGGGGGCGGGGAGGGAAGGTCGCATTTTTTTAATCATGTGGTCACATTAAATCCTGTGTCTGGCCCCCGCTCGGCCCTGGAGGGCCCGGCGCTGTGTCATGGACACCCTGAACCCAAGCTCCCCCGATGCGGGCCCTCCTCCTCTTCTTCTCTCTCCCTCCCTTGCGTCCCCCCTCTTGAGTCTTGAGTGGGTGCTTGGGCTCTGGCCTCGCCCTCTCTGCGTGGCTCGTGGCCTGGGGAGTCCTCGTCGCCGCCGTCTCCATCCCGCTGAATCTCTGCCCAGTCCCACCGAGGCTTCAACCCTCCGCCTTAATGAGGAGAAGAAGAAGAGGAGGAGGAGGAGGAGGGGGAGGAGGGGGAGGAGGAGGGGGAGGAGGGGGAAGAGAGAGAGGAGGAGGGAGGAGGAGGAGGAGGAGAGGAGAATGGAGGAGGAGGAGGAGGAGGAGGAGGAGGAGGAGGAAAAGGAGGAAGTCTGGGGCGCAGGCGACTCCGCTCGTGCGGCCACCTCGGCGAGGCGCCCCCACCGCAGCGGCGGCGCCGCCGCGGCCGCCGGCCCGCCGCCAGCGCAGCCCGCCCCCGCCGCCCCCGCGGCGCCGGCCGCGGGGCCCGGGCGGGCCTCGTCTTGGGTCGGGCATATCCTCCTACACGGGCGTCGTCTTCGGGCGGGCCTCGTCCTCGGTCGTCTTCGGTCGGGCGGGCCTCGTCCTGGGTCGGATCTTGGAATCAAAACGAAGCGTAGTTTCTGTGGAGGTTCTGAGTACAAATGAAACGTAGGTGCTCTCTAAATTGAACAAAATCTCGAAAAACAGAAAACTCGAAAAATATGGAGCATGAGAAGAATATAAAAGAACAGAGCGATCGTCCCCAGATTATCTGTGGAGACTGTTTTTGGAATCTTCCTCATGTAGAGGGCCATGCCCGACTTCGGCCTCGTCCAGGCGCCAGAGCGCGCGCAGCTCCGCGGGCCCCGGGGCCTCGCCCGCGCAGAGGGCGGCGGCGGCCGCGGCGTCCGCGGCCAGCAGGTCTCGCGGGCGGGGGGACCCTGAGACCCTGGCGCGACTGAAGTTTTCTCTCGAGCCGGGCGTTGTCGCTCAGCTGCGGGCACCCGGGGCCCTCACAGATCGATCCGGCTCGAAAGCTGACGCAGAAAGGTGGGGTCCGGGGCTCCGGGCGCGATTCGCTGGTCGGGTGCGGCCAAGAGGGGGGCGTCCAAGAGGGGGGGGCGCAAATCATGGCCGGCGGCATGTGCGCGGCCCAGGGGGGGAGGCGGGGACGCATGGAAGCAAGAAGGGGCGACATGAAATCTGGGGAAAGATCCTGGCCCTCGCCACGAGATCCTTTCCCCCCCACCTGGTCGTCACCCCCCTCTCTGCCGTCCCCGAGCGTACGATGCTGCATTTTTCTTGTGCGACGTCGGGTCTCAAGGCAGGGCTGAACCTAACCGGTGTTTTTCGTTCTCGTTTTGTCTTTGCTTTTCCCTCGTGCTGTCTTCAGTCCACCTCCTGCAGCAGAAACGAAGTCGAAACGAGCAACGGCCCACGACATCGCCCAAACACCGTGTAGGTCCAGCCCTGTCTCAAGGAACACACGGTCGGGGACGTCTGCTCGGCGTGTCTGAAGGGACCCCAGGACACACAAAAGAATACACACAAATAAACAGATTCCAAATATTTTCCCATATTTTCTGGGTTTCTGTCTTCCCCCCCACTTCACATACTTTCCCATATTTTCTTGGGGATCGACGATTCATTGTGTCTGTGTGTTTTTTTACCTCCTGGGTGTCGCGGCGCGACGCGCGCCGCGCCCTGCGGCTGGGCGGCCCGTGTCGCTCCGCTGGTCCGCGCGGGCGGGGGCCCGCGCGGCGGAGGCTCTGGGCGTGGACGCCCGGGGGACGGCGCTGCACCGACCTCGCCGACGCTTACAGTCGGGGCGTTGACCTAAGGAACCCTGAAAAAGGAACGAGGCCCCCTTTTCCCCAATAAGTTAGACTTTGATCTCCGATCAAAGGCATGAGGAAAACCTGAGGCGAGCTGTGAAACACTTAAGGAACACGGAGCCCCTCCCCACCGAAAAGGGTTCCTTCTTCAGGGCCCCGACTGTAGCTGCACCGATACGCAACACGCAACACGTAGCGTACTGATACGGAGCTCAACACGCAGGCTGAAACCGTGGTCCAATACGTGGAGCCAACACGCAACGTATCGACACGGACGCCTTGAACACGGGACGTGCTGCGTTTCAGAACGGGCGCATCGAGGCAACTAAGCGCAGACGTGCTCCAGCGGATCGTCGCGCGGACTTCTGTCCGTGCAAAACCCCGAGCTGGCAAGCGGCAAGCGAAGCGAATGTCACGTAGACTTTTTTTATAGTCTGCCTTCCTGGCCCAAGAAAAAAAGATCCGCACGAGATTCACCTCGGAGTCCAGAACGCGAAGTTCTCCAGGACACTCGGGGCCCGCCCTATCGTTTCCGACTGAAGTCCGCTCTGCGATGTTGGCGCCATTGGAAGTGGACAGCGCGGCGCGCCGCAGCGCTGGGGGGGGGCCAGATGAAGAGGCCCCAGGACACACAAATAAATACACACAAATAAAAGGATTCCCCATATGTTCCCATATGTTCTGGGTTCTTTGTCTTCCCCCCCACTTCCCATATTTTCCCATATTTTCAGGGAACCGACGATCAATTGTGTCTGTGTGCTTTTTCCCTCCTGACCAGAACCGGCGGCGCGACACGCCAGGCTTCAGTTCCCGACCGGATCCGTAGCGGCGGCCTCGCGGGCGGGGCCCCCGGGGCCGCGACCCCGCGGACACGGGGCGCCGCTCCGCGGAGGCCCCGCGCCGAGCGTGCCCGCACGACCGCGCAGATCCGCGGGATCGCGCCCCGGAAGCCAGACCGCGAGGGCGCAGATACGGATCGATTTCGGTCGGGCACGTCCTCTCCTACAGGCGGAACTTGGTAGACAAATGAATACTCGAGTCGCAAAAAAAAGTACGGGAAGGAAATCGCCCCCGCGCATTACTTTGTGGCAGCGTTCCTCCTGTAGAGGGACATGCTCGACTTAAGAAAAGCTGTTCGCCGCCCGTGGAGGCCGCTGGGAAAGAGCAGGTCGTCCCAGAGCAGGCAGAAGTCGGCGCTCCGCAGGGACTCGGCGCAGAAGCGGCGCCGCAGGGCGGCGAAGTTCTGGGCGGCGCCGTCGCGCGCGAGCGCGAGCTGGCCAATGGACGCCCGGGCCCGCTCGAACTCCCGGGGCATCCTCGCCCGGAAGGCATCCGCGGGGTCCTCTCGAAGGGCAAAAACCTTCATGAGCGTGATTTCTCCGATTTTTGGCGCTCCGCGCGGATTTCCTGGATCCGCGCCGGGCACCCCCCCCGGCGGCGCCTCCGGCGCCGCGCGCCAGGGAGGGGGGTCCAGCGCCGATCCAAGAACTCCGCGCGGACCTCCTGTGGAACCATGCTTTTGCAGCTGTGTTGTTCCTCTATCCTCGATGGCCTCCAGCGTCGCTTCCATCAGTTTCTGCTTCGCCGCCAGCTCCTTCGGTGGCAACTCATGGGAGCCTCCCATACCATCTTGTTGGCTCTTGCGAGTCGACACACATCGACGCGAATCGACGCTAAGTCCACGCTCATCGACGCTAGATCGACGCTCATCGACACTAAATCGGCGCAAGCGCACGCCGAAGGCTCCAGTGAGTTCTTTCTAAAAGAAGAAAGCGGTATGAACATAAACTTTCGACGCCCCGCGCGGTGCGCCTATAGTGTATGTTGACGTAGCTTTCCCTTCTTCGAATTGATTTGTCACCGAAAGCTCCTCCCGAGAAGCCCTGCCCCCGAGCCTTCTGAGCCGGCCTGCCCCCTGACGAGCCCTGCCAGTGGGCCCTGCCCCCTGTCGGGAGCGGCCAAGAGGGGAGTGTCCAAGAGGGGGGGGGTGCAAATCATGACCGGCGGCATATGCGCGGCCCAGCGGGGGGGCCAGGGACGTGATGAAACAAGAAGAGGCGCCCTGAGATCTGGGCAGATATCATGGCCCCCGCCATGATATCCACCCCCCCCCTAGTCATCACCCCCCTCTTTTCCGCCCCCGACCCTGAGAAGCCCTGCCAGAGAAACGTTCCCGGGCCTTCTGAGGGGGCCCTGCCCCTCCTCACCTCCCCCCTGCAAGGCCCAGCGCCCCTCGAACGGGGACTCCACTGACGGGCACTTTGGCCAGTGACCCGGCGAACCCAGCCCTCACCGCTGTGGACAACGCTGAAGTGCCAGAAAGAGGCCCTCAAAAGGGCAGCTTTCGGCAACTTCCCGAAGTACCCGTTGGTATTATGTCGGGCGTGCCCCCCTATACAGGGGGATTTTCGACGAAACATATTTAAAATACCCCAAACATGCAGCAAACATAGCAAAAAATGCTCAAAAAATAGTCCCCCGACTATTTTTGGACTCTTTCTTTATATTTGTGGGGTACTTTTTATTTCTCGTCGGAAATCCCCACGTAGGGGGACAGGCCCGACCTAACGTTAGTACCCATTACGGTGCCGCTGAAAGGCTCCTCCTCCTCCTCTTAACGTTAGTACCCATTACGGTGCCGCTGAAAGGCTGTAGGGGGACAGGCCCGACTTAACGTCAGTTAGGGGGCCACATGCGAACCCTACCCCTACCCACCACGATTTCTGAGGGGGAGGGTGGGGTTCACTTCGCTCGGGAGCTCCCCCCCCACTCAGAAATCGTGGGGGGTAGGGGTAGGGTTCGCATGTGGCCCCCTATTAATACCCATTACGGTGATCTGTTGCCGGAAGCTCCTCCTCCAGCGACGCCACGTGCTGCTCGCAGTCCTCCAGGCTCACCCGCACGGCCTTCCGCACGGCGGCCCCGCCGTCCGGGCCCTCGACGCGGCGCCTCGCGACGTTGCACAGGCACGGCCGCAGCTCCTCGCAGAGCTGCGCGGCCTGCTCCCCGAAGAAGCGGAAGAAGACCTCGAAGAGGAGGTGCCGGACGTCGTCGCCTGGAGCACGGAGGGAGACGCCGGTGCTACACAACCCTCTGATGGGCCTGTTTTCCACCACCACCACCATAAGTTGGAGGGGGGAATAAGGTGGAGGATGAGGATGAGGATGAGGATGAGGATGAGGAGGAGGATGATGATGATGATGATGATGAGGAGGAGGAGGAGGCGGAGGAGGAGGAGGAGGAGGAGGAGGAGGAGGAGGAGTAGGAGGACCCCCTCTCCCTTCAACTTATGATGGTGGTGGTGGTGGAAAACAGGCCCATCAACCCTCGGCAACAAGCTACCTCAAAAGCGTCGGCCACGCCCCTCCAGTGTCGGGGCGCCCCTTCAGTGTCGGCACGCCCGGAGGCGTCGTGGCCGGGGGGCATTCGATCGTTTCAGGGTCAAGCCGAGAGTTCGATGATGATCGACATTGAGCGAGGCGCGCCAAGAAGTTCGGCGTGTTCATCGCCAGCCACTCCAGGAACACACACAAGCTCAAGTTGGATGTGCAGCACATGTTTGAGGTTAAATGTGGCGAGGATGCTGCGCGCTTCTGTTGGAGGGGCGCGCCCAAGCCGAACCTGTAGCGCAGCACCGTGCATTGCCTCGTCTGGCTACCGAGCGGTATGGCCAGACAGCGCCAGCCACGGAGCTTATACTGTAAGATGTCCGAGCGTGCGCATCGCCCCATATACTGCATATGGCATACATGTGTGCGTGTTTAGAATGCACATATATATATATATATATATATATGTATAGCTAGTGTTATGTGTAACCATGTGTGTATGTATATATATGTGTATATATATGCATTCTATATATACACTGCATTTCCATACCTAGGCTCTGCCTAGAAGGGTTCTTACTCGGAGGCTTACCCATCGGTCGGTCGGAAGAAGTAGGTAGAAACATGAAGTAGGAAGGCGTTGGAAATAGATTGGGTTTCCGCACGCCTCCTGAAGAGGAAGGAAGAAGGAAAACCACTCGACTCTTGAAGTAGGAAGGCGCTGAAAGTAGATTGGAATCTGGGAATCCAAAAATACCTACTTTCAACGACCGATGGGTAAAGGGCCGGGCAATGGGGCACGCCCCGGGCGGTCCCCCCGGCATCCGCCCCGCGGTTCCCCCAGTTGCGCCCCCTGGGTTCACCCAGCTTAGCTTAGCTAAGCTTTGCTTAGCTTTGCCTAGCCTGGCTTAGCTTAGCTTAGCATAGCTTAGCTTATCCCATCTTAGCTTATCTTAGCTTAACTAGCTCTGCACAGCCTAGCTTAGCTTAGCTTAGCTTAGCTGATCTCATCTTAGCTTAGTTTAGCTTAGCTTAGCTTATCTCATGTTAGCTTAGCTTAGCTTAGCTTTGCCTAGCCTAGCCTGGCTTAGCTTAGCTCAACTCAGCTTAGCCTCGCCTAGCTTAGCTTACCTCAGCTTAGCTTTAGCATAGCTTAGCTTACCTTAACTTAGCGCAACGCAGCATAGCGCAGCGCAGCATTAGCACAGCATAGCATAGCATAGCCAAGCATAGCATAGCATAGCTCAGCACAACATAGCGTAGCGCAGCATAGCATAGCATAGCATAGCATACCATGACATTGCTTAGCACAGCACAACGCAGCATAGCAAATCATAGCATAGCACAGCACAGCATAGCATAGCATAGCATATAATATAATAGCATAGCGCAGCATAGCATAGCATAGGCATAGCCTAGCCTAGATGTAGATGCTGCTGTCCTAAATGCTCCAACTCCTAGGTAGGGTCGCACTGGGATAATGATATGTTTTGGGGGGGCCCCTCGCCTTCGTCATCGTCCCTGACGGCATCGAGCAGCCCCAGGGACCACAGCTCGAACCCACCCGCCTGGCCGAGCTCCGTGCCCTCGTTCAGGATGTTGCCCGCGGCGAGCACCAGCCCGAGGAGGGGCAGCAGGGCCGCGGAGCGCAGGAAGGCCTCCGACACCGCCGCCAGGTCGTCGAGCATCTGCGAGGCCGCCAGGACGCGGTCCTGGTAGGCCCGCACAAAGGCCCAGCACTCCATGCGCAGAAGCACAAGCAACGCCATCAGCATACACTCGTGGCGCTCCGCGCGGAGTTCTCGGAGCCGCGATGGCCCCCCCCCCCCTCCCCGGCGCGCGGAGCGCGCCAGGGGCGGCGCCGGAGGCGCCGCCGATGGGGGGCCCCAGCGCGGATCCAGGAAGTCCGCGCGGAGCGCCAGAAGATTATGCTCACGCCGTTTCTTCTTCTTCGGATGCGCGCAGGGTAGGCAGCCACGCCGCCGACGGCCCACACGTACTCCTCCAGCGGGGCCAGGGGGGCTTGCGGCTGCTCGTCCAGTGCTTTGCGGATGAGCTCCAGCTGTGCTGCCTTGCCGGCCGCATGCTGGCGCACCAGCTCCAGCTCGCCTGGCGTGAGGAGCTGGTCGTCCAGGCCGGCCAGCGCCAGCGCCACGTCGCGCGCGGGCGGCAGCCGCTTCAGCTGCGGCTCGTGCTCCAGCCGCGTCCGGCTGTCAAGCACACACAGCCGCCTGGAAGTCTCGCTGCTCTGCCGGACGAGCTGGGGAGGCTTCTGCGCGGGGAGGTCGCCGCGGGCGCGAGGCTCCTGTGCGGGGGCCTTCGCGTAGCGGCCCTCCAGGGCGGGCACCGGCAGAGCGGCGTCGTCCCCGACACGGTCCCAGATCGTCGCCCCTGGTCAGGGACCAGGAAACAAACGACACCACCCCACCTACGGCCCCACGCGGCTTGGCGTATGCCAGGGTACCTGGCGTGGGCTCTTGCGTGGTAGGCGCTACGGCGCCCGATGGGCCGTAGCGCAACATGGAGGGCCGCAGGTGGGGCTAGAGGAACAGAAAACGGCATCAACATAAACTTTTGGTGGTCCGCACGGATTTCTTGAATCCGCGCTGGACCCCCTCCCTGGAGCGCCGAGCGCGCCAGGGGCGGCGCCGCCCGGGGGGCCCAGCGCGCATCAAAAGATATCTGCGCGGAGCGCCAAAAGTTTATGTGTACTGCCGTTCTTTGTTCTTCGATCGGTGGAGTGGTTTGTTTTTTGGTCGAGGCCTGGGGGCATGTCCTTACCGAGCACCAGCCGCTTCCACCACAGGGGCTTCATCGGCTGGGCCGGCGTCACCTTGGGCCTCTCGGGCCCGCCCGCGCCGGGCCCCCCTGCGCCAGGCTTCCCCTTATCTCGGAGGGCGCGGGCCACACACGCCGAATGCAGCGATCCTGGCCAGGCCAGGATCGGCGTTCGCGGGCAACGACAGGGGGGGGACATGCATATAGGGAAAGATGCATCGACCCCCAATCGCCCATTGATCGGCGATAGGGGCCCGATTGCCCCACCCCGCCCAGGAAGGCACGGATTCACTATCGGGGGCCTGTCGCCGATCTGTCGGCGATGTATCGCCGATTCCAGGTCGATGCATCCCCCCTATGCCTATCCCCCCTATATCGTTGCCCCTCAGGTGTAGACATGGCATCGGGAGGAGCCAAAACGTACCCTCGGGACGACGCGCCCCCAGCTCGGCCTCGCAGCGGCTACGGCTCTGGCCACGGCGGGCGCCAAAAAGCCGAGCCGCTGGGCGCTCCGAGGTGGGCTCTGAGCAGGTGGGCTCTGAGCCCCCCCCACCCTCCAGGGTATGGCCAGCCCTGGGGCATGTTCGTCGGCTCGGACGAAGCGGGGGGGGATTAGCAAAAGAGGGAGTGGCGCGAGTCCGCCCGCGGAGCTGGCTTCCCCGGCAGCTGCCGGCACCGGCAGGCGCCGGCTCGTCATGAAGAGCCGCCCAGCGGCGCGGCCGAAACCAGCCGCGCGCGGCAGATCTCGCGACGCCCCTTCCCCTTCAGGCCTCGGAACAGAAATAGCGAACACGCACGCCGCATTCATCGGCCAACGCCTCCCCCTCCCCCCCATGTCCAAAGTCGGCGGTGGATCTGACGAGCTGCACTCCGACCGCAGGCCCCCCCGCGCGCGCCAACTCTGAGTTTGGGGGAGCGGGGGAGTGTCCACGAATTGTTTCCCGCTGCCGTACCCCCAGTGTCACCACAAGTTGGGGGGGAGGGGGTCCTGTGCTCCACCACCGTCACCACAAGTTGGAGGGGGAGGGGGTCCTCCTCCTCCTCCTCCTCCTCCTCCTCCTCCTCCTCCACCCCCCCCTCGTCCGACCCGAGTGCCCCCATGTCCCCTGGTCCCCGGCAGCGCGGCCGCGACCTGCGCGCGACGCCGCAGGGGGGCCGCGGGTGCCGGGCGCGCGCCACGGGTGGGGCGGATAGTATGGGATGCCAGGCGGCACCTCCCCCCGAGGTCGAGGGACCCCAGCAGTGGGCCCGCACCTCAAGTAAGAGGCCAAACCCAGAAGAGGTCGGCGATGCGGCGCGCGACGGCGGGCTCTCTTGCGGGAGGGGAAGGGGGGGGGGAAGCTTCCATGGGCGGAGGCTGCTCCTTAGAGGGCGCCAGCCCCTGCATCCACAGACAGGGCCCGCGCCTTCTAAGAGGCAGGGGTGCTCCTGAGAAGAACCCCCCTCTGCGCGGCAGGGGGAGGACGGGGGAAGCTTTCTCGGACTCCTTAGAGGGCGCCGGCCCTAGGTCTACAGACAAGGCCCGCGCCTTCCAAGTGGCAGGGATGCTTCTAAGGAGAACCCGCCTCTGCGCGGCAGGGGGGAGAGGGGGGGGGAAGGCTTCTTCGAAGGAGGCTGCTCCTGAGAAGGCGCTCGCCCTACGTCCACAGACAAGGCCCGCGCCTTCCAAGTGCCAGGGGTGCTTCCAAGGAGCCCCCTTCTGCGCGCGGCTGACCCGTGGGCCCGCACCAAAAGGTCACCCTGGCGAGGGGACACTCTTCCGGTCCGTCGCCTCGCGCGTGGCCTCCCCCGATCTGTACAGCCCGGGGAACTCCGGCCTTGGAAATCCCGGGACACATCACCATCGACGAACATAAAGACGAAGTTGAAGATGATGATGAAGATGAAGATGAAGAAGATGATGATGATGATAATGATAATGATGATGATTGTGATGACAAAGCATGTGAAGACGAAGATGCAGATGGATATGATGATGATGATGATGATGATGATGATGATGATGATGATGATGATAATAATGATGATGCTGATGATACTGATTATGGCTATGATGGTGAAAATGATGATGGTGGTGATGATGATGATGATGGTGATGATGATGCTGATGATGATGATGATCATGATGACGACAATGACGATCATGATTACGACGAAGACCGTAGCCTTTCTGGCTCAAGCCACGTGGGCTCAAGGAGCGTATGAGCCAAGCCTGCAGCCCAGCTTCGCCACAGCGCCGGGCGAGCCCGACGCCATAGCCACGAGCGCAGAGTGCGCCCTGCCCTCCGCAAGCACCGTCGGCGTCGCAGTCGTGACCCCTTGGCTCCCCCGAGGGCCACCCTCGCGTGCCACCGCCTCGCCCGCGGCCTCCCCCAAGACGAAGCCAGGACAAAGGCCAAATTCGGGCGAGGCTAACTCGAGAGATCCGACGGCACTGGAGGATGTCTCGAAGCCAGGACGAGGACACCTTCGGGCGCGAATAACTCGAGAATCTGTGAGATCCGGCGGCTCCTGGAGGATGTCTCGGGCGCCGCAGAGCCTTCCGGCCTTCCGGCACGCCCTGAGAGCATTCTGGAACGCTCTGGAACGGAGCTATCCTTGTCCCAGCCCCGTCCGGCATTGCATCATCCAGGAGTCGAAGAATGGCCAAGGCGTCGTCAAGGTGTGCACAGCATAAGAACAGGGACGCAGGCTGCCAAGACCAGGCACAAAAGAAAGCCCGTCCAGGAACGACGGGGGCAACGAAAGAACGAGAGAAACCCGACGCTCCTCGGGGGAACTATCCATCGAGGCCGGCCGAGCAAGCATCACTCCCAGGGGGGACGCGCACACGGGGCCAGCCGTCGGGCACTTGCCCGTGGAGATCCTGGATCTCCCCGTCCGATGTGCAGCCCGGCGCCCTCCGGCCTTCTGCCTCCCCTTGCCGCCGCCGCCCCCGCCCGCGCCGGCGTCGGCGGCGCCCTGCGCACCTAGGGGGCAAGCAAACCTACCTCGCTTTTGACCACCCTCGCTGCCAAGAGATACCAAGCGATGCCAAACTACAGCCTGTGCTGGTCAGGCCGCTGGACGAGGAGGCGTGTGGTATGACTTGGTTTTGTCTGGAAGCGAAAGCGGGGTATGTAATTCACGCTCTGAGCACCGGCGCCCGCGGGGCCGGGCGGCTTGCCCTTGCCCGTGGCGGGCGGCCCGCCCTTGGCCTTGCCCTGCCGGGCGGCGCGCGCACAGGCGGGGGGGGGCGAGGCCAGGCCCCCCCCCGTGTTTTCTGAAGGGGCCCTGGGACACACAAATAAATACACACAAATAAAATGATTCCCCATATTTCCCCATATTTTTTGGGTTTTTGTCTTCGCCCCCACTTCCCATATTTTCGCATATTTTCTGGGAATCGACGAATAATTGTGTCTGTGTGTTTTTTCCCCTCTTGATTTTCATCGGGCAAGGGACCAATGATGGGCCGAAGGGGAAGGATGCAAGGGTAACCTTGGAACGCGTGACACCCCCTCGAGCAGTGAAAAAAGCACGACAGGCGGTTTTTCTGCATGTTCGACATGCGGGGGCCCTTACGGGGCCTCAGGGCCGCCCAAAACCAACTCAGGATGAGAAAGCGGTCCCTGGGAATGGGTCCAGACCTCTGCGGGCCGACGCAATGAAAATTCATGACGTCGGGGATCTGGGAAAGTTGCTCATCCCTACTGTGCGGGTTGACTGTATTGGAATCGAAGTCATAAGAGGTGCCATGAAATCTGAGGATGTATCATGGCCCCAGCCATGATATCATCCCCCCCATGGTCATCACCCCCCTCTCGCCGCCATCCCCGACTCAGGGCGGAAGCGCGAAGGGGCGGGCTCCTGAGAGAGCCGGGGGCGTCTCAGAGATTGCTCTTACCTCGAGCAACGACCGTCACCTTGGGGAGGGGTGCGCAGACGGTCGGTCTGCTGAAACGAGGAACGCTACAAGAGGAGCGAAACCCCAGTTTAGCGCCAACAGCGCCTGGGTGCACGAGTAGAAACAGAAAAGACGACCTAAACAAACTTTTGGCGCTCCAGGCGGATTTCTTGGATCTGCGCTGGACACCCCCTCCCTGGCGCGCGCAGCGCGCCAAGGGCGGCGCAGGAGGCGCCGCCAGGAGGCCCAGCGCGGATCCAACAACTCCGCGCGGAACGCCAAAAGTTTCTGTTTAGGGCTCTTTCCCTTCTTCGAACGAGGAGGGCTAGAGGAGTAACCACGGAATGACCCCCGTCTCAAGGCTCCCGGCCCGTGCGCGCGCCGCCAGCCTTCCCCGCGCCAGCCGGCGTCGGGGCCGCCG